TGTTGGGACATAATCAAGTTGAACCATTCATAATAATAATGAGCAGCAAAATAAAATGCCGAGAAGAAATTGGTGAAAATTGCAGCGTTAATTTATTATTTGTGGAAAAAGTACACACGCACACACACATAAACACATATACATACGTGTGCATGTCTATGCATGTGTGTGTGTATGTATGTATGTACAGCTGCGAAAAAGGTTCAACGAATACATTGCATGTATTGTGAAATTCGAAAAAAAAAAAAAACAAAAAAAAAATGTGGTAAATGCCAAACTGCGAAAATAGGTTTTTTTTTCACTTATTTTCTTTTTGCCGTTTATCACAGCCAATTAAAGAAAAAAGTATTACGAGCAGGCCTTATCTGAAATCTGAAAAAAAGAACATTGTAAATTAAATATATGTTGCCAAAAAAAAAAAAACTGTGTCAAAAGATTAAAAATAAAAAAAAAAAAATGATCAAAAATATGCATTTGCATAAAATGTGTGCTAGAAATGTAATTTTAAAACGTGCCAAAAACTGACAAAAATGTGTGTTAATTGTGTTAATTTAATTAAAAAAAAAAAAAGAAAAAATTATTATACATTCATGTGTTTAAGCGGAGAAAGTAAAAAGCCAATTTACACACTTTTATAGCCAATTGGCAAATGACAAATCCATGACAAGAAGTTACGAAAGATAAAAGCCATAAATTAATGAAATGTGCGCTTAATTAACAAAAAAAAAAAAAAAAAACTGTAAAAAATTGTTAGAAAATTTGTGTTGGGCCTCATGAAAATGCAATAAAAATTACAACAAATTATAATTAAATATGTATAATAAATGCCAGGCCAGACAGCGCGACCACAGGGCAATTAATAAGTAAATAATTGCCCGAACAATATATATACACATTTATTTATATATATATATATATATATATATGTGTGTGTGTGTAATTGCAAAGCACACCCAGACGCAGCTCAAAAATGTTATTAACAATGCGCCTCCAGCTGCCTTCTGGGCCCATAAAACTAGCCCACGCATCAATTTTTAAGATGAGCATAAAAAAGGCTTTCGAATTCCGCTCAGAATTGGCGCAAAAATCTTTTGCAATTGCGTTTATACGTGGCGAAGTATCACGAAAACTCTAAAGGAGCAGGAACTTGATAAATTTATCACGACATCTCTAAAGAAGCAAGAACTTGATTGAAAAGTTATCACGAAATCTCTAAAGAAGCTAGAACATGATTGAGAAGTTATCACGAAATCTCTAACGAATCAAGAACTTGGTCAGGAATTGCATTGCGAGTTTATACGTTGCAAAGTTATCACGAAATCTCTAAGGAAGCAAGAACTTGATTGAAAAGTTATCACGAAAACTCTAAGGAGAAGAAGAACTTTGTTTGAAATTTAACTGCGCGCTTATGCATTGCAAAGTCATCACGAAATCTCCAAAGAAAATAACTTGGGCTACGAAGTTATTATGAAGACTCTAAAGAAGCAGGAACTTGGCAGGAATTGCAATGAGAGTTTATGCGTTGCAAAGTTATCACGAAATCTTTAAAGAAGCAAGAACTTGATTGAGTTATCACGAATTCTCTAAATAAACAAAAACTTGATAAGAAAGTTATCACGAAATCTCTTAAGAAGCAATAACTTGGTCAGGAATTGCACTGAAGGTTTATACGTTGCAAAGTTATCACGAATACTCTAAAGAATCAAAAACTTGATTAAGAAGTTTTCACGAAATCTCTAAAGAAGCAAGAACTTGTCTAAGAATTTAATTGATGTGAGATAACAGCCTGAATTCGCATAAATTTACATAAACAACAAAACTTTAAATATTTGAAACGTTCTGATAATAGCGTTATTTGTATTATACAGTCATAGAGCCCAGCCAAGTGATCAATGTGCATTTACGCTAATTGATGGATTCGTTGAAGTACAATCTATGCGTCATCTATTTGAATTGTTTTCTATTTGCGCTTCTATTTGCCCTTTCGCTTTTAGCTGCATTTCCATGTTTATCATTCATTAGCATATAGTATATCACGATAAAGACCACAGAGTGTTCCGACGCATGTGAATTGTACAAGTATACCGATTTCTGGATTGAATGAGAAATGGATAAAGTGTGCGGAACTGAGCTGCAGAAGAATGCCGGAGATAAAACTCTGTTAAGCAAGGAAGTTATCAAAATAAAAACTGCAAATCATGATAAATATTTGAATAAAAAATAGAACGCAAGAAAATCTTTAAAGAAATCAAAACAAATATTAACAAAAACAAACTCAAGCAACTTGTATGATAAGAAAAACAGATAGAAAGGTGGAAACAGCTATTTATTTATAAATATATATAGTTATTTGTAATTAAAACCAGACTAGAGCTCTCTTCTCTAGTCGAGAGTGTCCGATTAGGGGATAACCCACCCCCGGAACCTTCTAGGATAGGAGAGGAGTTAGCTACAAAATGAAAGATACTCGAACTGTATACACTATTCTAGAAGCTAAATTTCAACTTTATTGACTGCAGCTCTTAGAACCCAAGAGAAAATTCAATATCGACTTTTATCGATTGCTTGGAAACAAGGCAGGTTATCGATTATCGGAAACAAACTCGTATTGGCACAAGAAGCGAAATTTCATCTGATGACTGGAGGAATCGACTCGTCTATTGATGCTGATCAAGAGTCTATATACTTTATGGAGTTGCAGATGCTTCCTTCTGTCCACAAAACCAATATACCCTCTTTAATCATTTTCAATGGGCAATATAAAATACCAAATGCCATTTTGATCAAGAAAGAAATAGAAGCACACAAAATAATGTTTAATTTTGTGACAAACTTTGAAACAAGGTTATTGCGATATGCACACGTGTAAACCACAGAGTTTAGGTGGCTTGTAAGTGTGTTGGTGCGTGTGTGTGCGTGTGTGTTGGTGTTGGTGTGTGTGTATTGGTGTGTGTGTCTCGCAAGCGCGTGAATCATACGCATCACTAGGGGCACGCAAATATCCATTTGAATTGTTTTATGGCAGTCCGAATATTTGCACGCAGCCTAAACGCACAGCATATCAGATACACACACACACACACACACACACACACACACAGATACTCGCACACTTTCATATGCTCGACCAACAGCTAGTTATGCTACAAAATCAAATTGTTGTTTTTGAAAAAAAAGAAGAGAGATAAAATAAAAGCGACACAAACAAAACGCACAACCTAGTAACAGGCGCACGCAAATGCAAATAGAAAAGAAAAAAAAAGAAAAAAGGCGAAAAAAAGAAAGAAAAAAGACGAAATAAATAAAAGATAGAGCTAAGCGATAGATACAAAATAGGCATAGCCCAGAGCCAGACCCAGACCCAGACCGAGACCGAGACCCAGACCCAGACCCAGACCCATATGCCGATAGCACAGATGATAGTCAGTCGAAAGGCCGAAAGGAAAAGGCAAAAGAACAAAAGAGGAGGAGGGGGGGCAAAGAAAACAGAGAAGAGGCGGCAGGGGGGGTAGCTGGTCGATAAGAGAACGCGGAAATTTTGAACGCCAGTTGAAAAAATATTTAGTTCTTTGTCAAATTGAAAGGCAAACCGACAATTTTTGGCCCAGTGCAGAGGGAAACGTTGAACGGTGAGAGACCGTCGTTTCAGGCAATAATAAACAATAAACAAATAAATTAACCAAAATAAAAATAAAAAATAAAAAAAAACAGCAATAAATGTGTGGGAAAATGCGAGCAGCGCAAAAGTTTGGGCGAGGGAGGATCCTCCACCCCTCCCTCGCTCCCGCCACACATCAAGCGAAAATTGAACAAATTTAAAGCAAATTAATTAATTAAAAGAAGCCCCTGGTGTGGAGCTTTAAGCAATTTGATGGCATTGGCGCAATAAAATGTCAAAAACAAGCTAAATAAATAATTGTACAAATAACAACGAAATGTGTTTTTAACTAGAATTTACGAATAACAGCGAAAAAGATGTAAAAAGATAAGCGCAACAAGTGATTTAAAGCTTGGTTAAGCACCTATTTTACTTATGAGGAAAATCAACAAAACTGTGACTAATGCGAGTGGAATAAAAATTAACTCACGATTTAAGCAGAAAAGATATTAGGATAAGCCTTAAAAATGATTTAGAGCTTGGCGAAGCCTTAGGATATTAAATTAAGATATGCGAAAGCAGATATGTACACATATATAAAGCTTTCAGCGAGTCTAAACACAAATTCCAAAAGCTTTACGCACGTTTTTTTTTTTGCATTTATAATGTACCCAAAGAGCTGTTTAAGTAGCCTTGAAAGCACCTGAAAGCTTTAGGCGAGTTTAATAAAAGCTTAAAGCTTGGCGAAGCTTTAATATATTTAGGTAAGCAACTTAGTTATTTATTGCATCCTCAAAAGCTAGAAAGAATGTATCACCAAGTACATAGACTTTAAATTCTATGCTCTAGTAGCTTTAGCTCTGGCTCTAGTTTTCTTAGTTCAAAGGAGCTTTCAAAGCTCCTACAAACGAGCTTCATGTAGTATATAAAGGTATGTGAAAGCAGATATATAAAACTTTGCGCGGGTCTAGACACATATTCTGAAAAGTTTGAGCAATATTTATGCATTTATAAAGCACCTGAAAGCTTTAGGTGTGATTTATAAAGGCTTAAAGTTTGTTGAAGTCTAAAGATGTTAAATTAAGCAACTTGTTAGCTAGAAAATGATGTACGAGACGTGACATTCTAGTATATCACCTCAAAATTTCTTAAACAGTTGTTAAAGGAGCTTTGAAAGCACCTACACATTATTTTGAACAAGCTTTAAGAAAGCTTTAATGCGTTTTAAAGTACCCGAACAGCTTTTAAAGAAGCTTTGAAAGCACATGAAAGCTTTGCGATATGTGCTCGCTTAAAGCTCAACCTCTCTTATTGCCTCTTATCCCTCTCAGTTAAACTTGATGCTTTTTGAATTGTCAATTTACTAAAAAGCTTTCATTTTTCTATCCTTTTCTTTACGCAGTGCGGGACACTAGACGGAGCCGCCGAACCGTTATTTCATCAGCAGCGCAACAACAGAATGGACGTCTATCAGATCGATGATGGTTTCCACTCGGATGGCGGTACCGAGACACCGCCGCCGTCGCCCAGTTCGGGCTCCTCGATAGCCTCGACCTCGGACCACGGTTCGCTGGAGAGCGTTGATACAGGGGGAACACAACGGCTGGCGGTGCTATCGTTTGAGCAGGTGCGCAAGCTGCACAGCGTCATGGACGAGAAGGTGGCCATACATGGACGCGGCAATTTTCCAACACTGGAGGTAACGCTCAAGGATCTGGTGAATCTGGTGCGTCGCAAGCTGGAGGCAGACGTGAACACCGGCGGCGCCGGTGTCCTAGTTAAGGATATACGACTAAACGGCGGCGCAGCTAGTCATGTGCTGGCCAGCGAGGATCAGCCGTACAATGATCTGGACCTGATCTTTGCCATCGAGCTGAGCTCACCGCGCGTCTTTGATCGGGTCAAGACCGCCGTGCTGAACACGCTGCTCGACCTGATGCCCGAGGGCGTCTGCAAGCGCCGCATCTACACGGGCAGCCTCAAGGAGGCCTATGTCGGCAAAATGGTCAAGGTCAACAATAACAACGATGGCGATCGCTGGTCCCTCATCTCGCTGGGCAATTCGCCTGGCCATAAGAATGTCGAGCTCAAATTTGTGGACACAATGCGGCGTCAATTTGAATTCTCTGTCGATTCATTCCAAATTGTCTTGGACTCGTTGCTGTTGTTCTACGATTGTGCCGCCTTGCCCATATCGGAGAATTTCTATCCGACCGTTGTGGGCGAATCGGTCTACGGCGATTTCCAGGAGGCACTGTATCATTTGCAAAAGAAACTGATCTCAACGCGCCAGCCGGAGGAGATACGCGGCGGTGGTCTATTAAAATATTGTAATCTATTGGTGCGCAACTATACGGCCGTCGATTCACAATTGATCAAGACTCTGGAGCGTTACATGTGCTCACGTTTCTTCATAGACTTTCCCGATATAAGCACACAGACAACCAAGCTGGAGGCCTATTTGCGCAATCATTTCTGGGGCATTGAGGAGGAGCCGCTGCAATATGAGTATCTCATGTATTTATATAACGTTGTCGAAATGTCCACCGTCTGTCTGATGGGACATGAGCGCCGCCAGACGCTGTTGCTCATTCACACGCTGGCCCAGCAGGTCAAGCAGGCACAGGAGCAACAGTATCATCATCAGCAGCAGCAGCAGCAACAGCAGCAGCAACATCATCATCACCAGCAGCAGCAGCAGCAGCAGCAGCAACATCACCAACAACAGCAGCAGCAGCAACATCATCATCACCATCATCATCAGCAACAACATGCCGCATACCTGCAGCAGCAGCAGCAACAGCAGCAGCAGCAGCAGCAGCAGCAGATGGAGCCACAGCCGGCGCAGTCGCCGCCCGTCTTGGCGCTGGTCTCGACAACGCCGTCGCAGCAGACGCCGCAGACGCAAACGATCTATGTGCAACAGGCAGCGCCGGCCAGTGCCACAATTTGCTGCAGCAACACGACAGCAGCAGCAGCAGCAGCAGCGGCAGCAGCAGCAGCGGCAGCATCGCCAGCGGCAACGGCAGCGAACACAACAGCAACTGTTGCTGTTGATGCACAGGTGGCCCAGCCGCAGACCATACAGATACAGGCGGGTCCGCCGGGCTTGATCTATGCCAATGGCGTTTACTATGCACCTGTGATACCCAGCACCATTTGCACCTGCAATTCCACCTGGCTGAGCACGTGATTGGAGCTGGAGCAGCAACAGCCACAGCCAACGCAGCAGCAGCAGCAGCAGCAGCAGCAGCAACAGCAACAACAACAACAACAGCAGCAGCAGCAACTACAACAACAACAACACTTTAACAATATAAACAGCAAGAAGAAGATTAGCAGAGCGCAGGATGACGATGTGGCAGCCACGGGCAGCTTGGTGCTGATGCAGCAGCAGATCAACAATTTGCCAGTCTACAAACTGAACCAGCAGCAGCAGCAGCAGCAGCAACAGTCACGGGCACGGGTACAGCAGCAACAGCAACAGCAGCAGCAGCAGCAACAGTTGCTGCTGGGCACCTACAGCGGGCAATTCGCATATTTCTATCCGCACGACGGTTCGCCGCCCAGTTTGCTGCTGCTCGGCGAGGATTCATATTTGAATGTGACATTGGCGCAACAACAACAACAACAACTACAACAACAACAACTACAACAATATATCTAAAAGAAAAACTTACAAAAAAAAAGCCCGGGCTAACTGCAAGACGCGGGCCTTTAGTTGTACAAACGTGTCATTTATATATATATATATCTATATATACATATATATATATATATATATACATATATATATATCCTGTTGTTCCTTTTTCTATACATTTTTGTACGCACGCTAAAGACTCGACAAAAACTCACCGTCTCTCTCTCTCTCTCTCTCTTTATCTATCTCACCTGAAAAACAAAACCATAATTGTTGCTGCAAAATGTTGAGCATGATGTTAATGATGTAGCTAAACACACACACCACACACACAAACACACACAAACACACACACATTAAACACACTACGCCAAGTTTCAACTAATTTGACTGAAGAGCCGCTGTTTGGGGCGGGCGCCGGGAGCAAGGAGCAAGGAGCAAGTCGCGATGGCCAGAAAGAAAATAATGAGAATGGGGGCCAACAAGAAAGGAAAGTGAAAACGAAAGAGAAAGATGTCGCAGCCAATTCACTTTTGCCTATAAACCAGGACAAATCAACACCAACACCAACACACACACTCCCACACACACATAATTATATGACAAACAAAAAATAATAGCCACATTTTTTTTTTTTTTTAATTTTTTTCTTTATGCGTCGCTTCAAAAAAATTTTCTTGTATCGCAAAAAATCAAACCTCAAAAGAACAAGTAGAGTTACTTGTATACGAAAACACACACACACACTCCCACACACACACACACATACACGCCCACATGTAATTCTTATCAATTTTGCTCTTAACTTCAATTTTTTGATAGACTCCCCTTTTGCACCAAAAAAAATGAGAAAAAAAACAAATAAAAAAGAAAAGATAAAGAAATTTAAGAACCCTTCAAACACACAACCCCCCCCCCCCCCCCCCCCCCCCCCCCTCTCAAACCCCACCCACCCTACACTTCCTGCTCGCACACGTTTAAGATTTGATTTTGTAATAAAAAATAGAAAAAAAAAATAGTTAAAATTGCGGCGCAACACACAAAAAAAAAAAAAAAACTCATTTTGTTCTTATTAAACACATTTATTTTTTACAGCTCAGTTGTAAGTTTGGCTTGCAGTTAACAACGTACCATCCCTGTAGCACGCCCCCCTCCCACATAAATATCATGCTATTTTATAATATATTTTTGAATTTGTTCGTTTATGCAATAAGCGCAGCCGCCCTCGTGCCGCCGCATAGGAATTCCAAGCAAAATATCTATATATATATATATATATATATATACATATAATAAACACAATATAACTATATGAATATATTTTTAAAAAAATACTTATCAAGAAAAAAATAAACACAAAAAAAATATCAAATTACAAGGCAGATATGATGACATGTAAATAAAAAAAAAAATAAAAAAAAAAAATAAAAAACAAAATTATATCTATATACTAAATATTAGTCAAATTTTAGCTGTCAAAGTTGACATAATATGCAAAGTAAAACATTGTATTTATATATTGTATATGATTTAACATTAATGGTAACTCTTAGCTGTAGCTCTTTAACTCTTAACTGTAACTGTAACTGTTCGACTCTTTAGTACTGTACAATCATAAACATTTTCTTGGTAAATATCAGTGCAGTTATTGACCGAAAAAAAAACAAGAAGAAGAAGCAAAACCGAAACTAAATGTATCTCAGCGTAAGACGTTGCTCAATGGGGGAAAAAACAGAAATACTGAAAACACAATAGATGATAGACATTTACAAGCAGCTTGCAAAAGTTAACATAAAGCATGTCAAACGGAAAAACGCAAATCAAAATCTCTTAAAACAAAAAAAAAAAAAAAACAAACAAACAATTTTTTTACTTACAAATTTTTATAAAGGCAGCAAACAGAAGAGAGCAAAAATAATGAATGGGAGAGTGTATGAAAGAAGACAACTTTGCTAAAATATTTTCAGTGTGTTTTTTTTATACAATAAATATACACACACATATATATATATATATATATATATATACATGAAATTATGCGTGTAAAACTGTAAACTGTAAAACTGTAAAACCGTGTAGAACTATAGTTTATATACAAAATAATAATAACTAAATGTATAACTAATGGTATCTAGTGAAGTTTAACAGCAGCAACATGATTGATTGATTGATGTCATGCATGCATTGTGATTGAGTGACTGTTTTGGCTTGTTCGTTTGTTCGTTTGTTTGTATAAAAAACTGCTGGGTGATAATTTATGAATGATTCAACTATATATAAACACATATGTGCATCTAATATATAACATATTCAATTTATAAATAATACTTTTAATCATTAAACTACAGCGCATGCCATGTAAGCATGTATATATGTAAACATAAAGACAAAAAAAAAAGAAAAAGAAAATGTTAAGTCCAACAGAAAATTGCATATGCTATGCTATGTTTCCTCTGTAAATGTGTTAACTGTTAACTGTAAACGGTTAACAGTGTTGCTGTTAAATCTCACAATGTTAACTTTACATAATTTGCGTTCATATTCATTTTCGATTTGTTTTATTTTGTCGAACTCTTTTTTTTGTTTTGCATAGCGTTGAGTGAATTTTGTTTTTGAATTTGTACTGTATTAATTTTAGTTTAAAATATTATGTAAAACTGATTGATGTTTGTATATAATGTGTGTATGTGTGTGTATATATATATATATATATATATATAATAACATGTATTCCAAAACAAAAAAAGAAAAACAAAATAATTTAGGGAAAAAGAAAACTTGTACACTTGACAAGTTTTTGGTTAACATTGGAAATTGTAACTTTGCTCACAAACTGGCTGCATGACTTTTTATATATATAAACATTTATTATATATATATATATATACACACACATATATATATTAGTAGCTATAAGAAAGCGAAGGAGGAGCGCGAATGCTTGTTGATCTTTCATGTTGATGATGATAAATAGAGCGAATAGTCTGTAAGTGTGTAGAGAAAAATTACAAAAAGAAATCAAACAAAAAATATAAATCAAAAAAAACGGACATTTTTGAGAAAATAGCTCGTAACTTTAAATTTATACAAAAATCCAACTTAAAATGTAAATTGACAAAAACAAAACAAAAACAGAAAAAATCAAATCAAATCAATCAACAATCTATTGAGATTTGTATATAATATTATAATTATATTATGCTATACTCTACTATATATGTATACACACACACACACACACACAAACATACTAGACACACACACACACACACACACACACACAGGCACACCCAACCAATATATACTATATATAAATATTACTTACATATTACAATATATATATATATGTATATGTGTATACACACGTTTGTATGCATATATATATATGTATGTAAACATATATATATATTATATAAATAATCTTAATTATGTATGTATCTACAACAACAACAACAACAATTTACCATATACATATTACATCTGTGCGCTTCTTGCGATCTAAGGAATTTCAATAAAAAACAAACAAAAAATACCTAAAAAGTATAAAACCAACGAAAAATAAAAAAAAAATAAACAAAATATAATTAACAAATTGCATTTATTTAATATTATAAATTTGCACGTGCGACAAACTCTGCGCTGGCCATTGGCCATTTACCGTTTACCGTTTGGTTACGCTGTTTGCGGTGTGCTTCCTCCTTTCCAATTGGAGTTTGTTTTTTTTTTTAGTCCAAACATCTGCTGATTATGACAGACACAACAAACGGCATCGGCCTATGATCCAACTGCAGCAGCTGCATCTTCAACTCCAGCTGGGACGACTCACTTTCGCCTGTTTCTACCAAGTCGGGTTTCACTCTCCGCTCCAACATTTAATTTGCTTGTTTATTGTATAATGTTCCGTATCATTCGAGACGGTCTTTGCACTAAGTGGCTCGAACCCGGCTGTGTTGTTAAATATAAATGTAAAATATGACAAATCCTTGGCAAGATTTATGCATTTCGATTAAATTGTTGCTTAAATCAACTGGCCAGTTGTGCCTTTTAGTATACAACTTATATAACGCTGATCGAAAAGTTATTTTGGCATAAATATTGCAAACAGTTTTCAAGCAAATTCAAATTTGCGCGCCACACAGCCAGAGCTTTGCCAGCTGCAACCAGACGAAGGCAAGCAGCTTGTGTCATGCAGCACTTGCGTTTTGGTATTTATTTTAGGCATTATTTTAAGCAACGCAACGGTCACCCTGTTTGCTCAATTTTTAGCGCTAAATGCGTCTAGCTCCAAGAAGTCTAAGCCCGAGCTTTTAGTGTCGAACGTGAATTCGTGACGAGCGTTGGGCAGAGATAACGAGTTTACGCCAGTTAATTTGCAACACACACACACACACACAAAACACTAAAAGACACACACATAAACACCAACAAAAAAAAAAGAGTGCACAGAGTGAAGTTAAGGCAATAAAGCAACAAAAAGTGCGAAACAAACAAAAGCAACTAGGCATCAAGTGCTGGGAAGTGCGTAAATTGTGAAACGAGTTGTATCCATTGAGAAAAGTGCGTAAAAATTAAGCTAAAGCATTCAAGTTTTCATTTGAACACACACATGCATACATATAC